ATAAAAGTGAAACATTTATAAACAATTCCTATTTGTTCTGTGTTCTATCGTGACCACCGATATATCGGTGGTCACGGTTCTATAGTGTGTGTGTGTGTGTATATATATATATATATATATATATATATATATATAGAAATATAGACTTAAGATGTGCTATATTTTTGGGATAAAGTGCTCAATATCAGAGATAGAGCATGTGTAAATATAAAAGTGAACATAGAAGTCTAAGTGTTGACTTCTAAGTTCACTTTTATAATATATATATAATATATATATTATATATACATAATCTATTTTATCCATATATTTGCTTACATACTGTCTACTGGAAATACAAACCTGAATTTACTTTATAACATGGAAGACTTCAAGCTTGTACGAAAATTTAAGAATCTATTGATCAAGTAAGGAAAGGATTTCTGCATATTCCTATATCAACGGAAGGGATTTCTTGAACTGTTTATATAAAATAGTTCAATCGACTTTTTTAATATTTTAATATTTGGAAATCATCTTCGAATACGTTTTCCCAACATCGCCCACGTGCCGACGACATGATCATATTTAAACGGAACGCTGATCTTATATAAAAATTTCAGTTATCTGTTTGGATTAGTTGTGCTCTTATATCCATCATCTTTTCAGGTTGAATTTTAGATGTTCTATGTTAATTATATTTAATGAAAATGTCCTGAAGATGGTCTAAAATAGACCGAAACGTCCGACGTTGACTTTATATTAACATTAATACAGCATAATTGCATATTAAGATTTTTGTTTGTTTTTTCTGTATATTTTTCTTCATATATACACATACACACACACACTGGGTGTAACAGAAAAATTGTCCAAATCATATAATGGTAAAATTGTCCAATTGTTAGATAAAGCTTTGAATCATTGTATCATAGAAATGATTAAAGATATCTTACTGGAATTCACTCAGGTTTTTATAACACTATTGGACTCTACTTTGAGCAATAAGAATGTATAATTACTCTCTAAGCTTTACAGAAGAATCATGATGAAATCAATCATAAACAAAAATGACATGTTCATCATTAATTAATCATAGCTAAGGGCTGGAAGCTCTTGAAGGATTGAAATAAAGTTCAAATATCTATGTATTATTCCAGGATCATTTTCCAACTTATTGAAGATGATCTTCGCCCTCTCTAACCTTCTAACTAACTTGGAGTAACAAAGTTTCATGTACAATTTCATTTTCAAGTCTTTTTCACTGCTTTTTGGACTGTCATAACTGAAATTCCTCTTTCATGTGCCAAATGTCTTATGAATCGAGTTGGATCTTTTCTAATTGATCTATTTAGATTGAAGTTGAAGTGATGAGCCCCTCTTCCTGTTGTGACTTCCTAATCCAGTTTTCCTCTCTATTGTTCCCTCTTTTTTTTTAAATGTATTCACCATTCTCTTGATGGTTCTTGAATAGACTTTGAAGGTGGAAACAAGAGTATGAATGTTGGTACCATTACTGAAAGCCTGAATAATCTTTTTCCATTTTATCATACTGGGGCTGACACAAAATGATTTTAACCTGTTCTCTTTCTAGCTGAATAACTTAAAAGGATTTTCAGTGATTCGTACGAGAAATAGTGTCAAGATGGCTAAACGTCTTGGAAATCTGGAAAAAAAGAAGCTTTAGATATTAAACATTTTGTGAGATGGATAATTATGCTGTAACACAATTTGTATAATTTTACTGTTACACCCGGCATATAGGGTAAAATGAAAAAAATTATATTGATAAAGATAAAGAAAACAATTAGAAAAATGTCTAGACAAATTATTAATAATTAAAATTAATAGAATAATGGGCATTTTTATTAGCTTTTGTTTTATTGTTATCAAATGCAGCAAGCTGAGACAAAGATTAGATTGTGAGAGGTTGAAGAACAAGTAGGGACTTGTACAGTGAAACTGACCTAAATGGTTATACGAGTTATCATATGCTGCCAATATAAACATTTGAAGATGATATATGACTGATTCTTAGTTTTCAATATATGAAACATATATACAGGGTGCGATGGGTAACTTGTTGCTATTTTATATTTTTAATTTAGCACATGTGTGTTTATTTTGATTTTGTTGACAGCACAGTGTGGTAAGGTCAGTTGGGCAACATCTGTAAGAAAAACAGCACCAGGACACAATTCACCCCAACAAAAATTTGGAAACAGCATGCTGTACTGCTTGGTATTCATACCAGAAGCTCCAATACAAACATTTCAGAGTGTTTGGGTATCAATCTGAGGACAGTGAAGAGTATTTGGAAAGAATTGGACGAGCTCGGAAAACTCATTTTGATTGTTCCAATAAGAAAAGAACTCCTGGATTTGTTAATGGAGGCCTCAGATTCAACGCAGGTTTTGAATTCAGAGTTGTCCTTCTCCTAGACCAGTTGCCATTCAAGGCTATAAAACCCAGTCTGTCCTTCAGTCCTGCTATTTACCTACATACATACATACATACATACATATATATTTTAATTTAAATAAAAAATTTTAATAAAAACAGACCACTTTAGGACTGCGGATCATCGGATTTTAATTCCAATTGGAAGTAAAGTCTGATGATCCGCAGTCCTTTTAAAAGGGCTGTGGTGAAATAATTTATTACATGGAACCTTAAAGTGGTCTGTTTTTATTTAAATTATTTGCTCTGGATTTACATTGAGCTCTCTGGATTATATCCTCCTTTAGGTTACCCAATAGGGTTTCCCAAGTTTTTCATAAACTATATATATATATATATATATATATATATATATATATATATATGTATGTATATGTATAATGAATTGGGTTATGTCTAAAAATTATTTAATATATTTTGTGTTTATACGTTATTTTTATAGATACAATTGATTTACATGAATAGTCTATTCTTAATTAAACAGTATTACTTAACATTTTCTGGCCTGTATGTCCGAGAAATTTTGTATAATATATGTGTTCTCTGACAGAACTCAAACCTGTATCCCTATAAGGAAACAGTCATTTGATCTGACATACTATACCATTTAGCTACAAGAAGAGTCTGGTTAGCAATGTCCAAATTACTTTTTTAAACACACAATCTTCAATGATTTTTCTCGATCAATCATGTCTGTTCCCGAAACGTATCTTAACGTAAACAATTAATAATGCTTAATTAAAAACAGAGCATTTCCTTAAATAAACTGTATCTATAAAATAATGTTTAAACCAAAAATATATTAGGCATATATATATATATATATATATATATATATATTTTATGTATATATATATTATGTATGTAAGCAAATATATGGATATAGATCCGACAGTATGAAGAAAAATATACAGAAAAAACAAACAAAAATCTTAATATGCAATTATGCTGTATTAATGTTAATATAAAGTCAACGTCGGACGTTTCGGTCTATTTTAGACCATCTTCAGGACATTTTCATTAAATATAATTAACATTAGAACATATAAAATTCAACATGAAATTTTCGTACAAGCTGTTTTAAAATTGTTCCATCTGATCTTATATAAAAATTTCAGTTATCTGTTTGGATCCATATATTTGCTTACATATATATATATATATATATATATATTATTATTATTATTATTATAATAGACTATAATAAAAACATTTTACATCACTACACAAAAGCTTTTATTTTTTTAAATTATTATTATACTGTAGTCCACTGCTATAGCACAGGCCTTGGGGTCTAAGATGGCCAACCCACACTGCAAATGAATCATGACAGCTGGTAGCATTGGGGATATTGATAATAGGAGGTTGAACACCTACCTGATTTTTGGGCCCTGTTTGTCCTATTTCACAATATATACCATAAATTATGGCTCAAAAAGTACCTCAAAAATTTATACAAATTTTTGCCAATGATTCCATAAGTAATTTCAGGTAATTTGCTTTTTAAGCCATGTGCTAAGTATCTATTAAGAATTTTCCAAATAGTTATTTTTTAGTCTAAATTTACATGCCTAATTTTAAAAAAACAAAGAAATTTTTATAAAATCTACCATTTTGGAGTTATTGACAATAAAAGTTCGAACTCATTCGTATTGTTGTCAGCTATGGCATGGCAGCCATTTTTGGCATTGTTTGCATCATTGCGTGCACAATAATTGAAACAAGTGAATGGCTATTCCACAGCAAATATATGCAAACAACGCCAGTAATGGCTGCTGTGACATTAATGAGTCTGAACTTTTATTGTTGATAACTCCAAAAAGGTAGGTTTTATCAAAATTTTTTTGTTATTTTAGAATTAAGCTTGTAAATTTACATGTAAATATAACTACTCAGGAAATTTTTATTAGATACTTAAAAAGCAAATTACACAAAATTTCAACTTATTTCATTGGTTTACAGCAGATTTTTTATACAATTAATTTTAACCATCCTCAAAAGTACTTCCTCTTGCAATGCATTATGGTCTAATTTGAAAAGTAATCTGGTGTTGTAAAAGGAAAAGACAAACATGGAAAGCATGAAGTATAAATATCACGTTTGCTATACATATGATAAAATCAGACAATAAGAACAGTAGTTGTATAAATAAATAGAAAAATATATTCATATTAATAAAATCATCATTGTCCATCAACAATGTTTAATAAAAAAGTCAGTGAGCAACACCCTGCTCTTCCTAGCTCTCAGCTGGGTCCTCCTGAGAACGTTTGTTAGGTGTAGAGTGGTGATGATTTCCTTGTCTTGCTGCCCATCCACATACTCAATGAGCCAATAGAGGTGGTCTACTGCATCAGTGTGGTTCTTGGCTGGAGCTGGTGGTGCTGCTTCTTCTTTTTCCTCTTTGTCTGTCTTTTTCTTCACCTCATCTAAGATCTCCTGATCAGTCAGAGTCTCTGTCACAGGGGTGTCATCCCCTCCTCCACCTGGGTTCACATATCAACCCAGTCCTGAAGGGAGAAGTCTTCATCCAGGTGTTCCTCGAGCTGGTTCTGGGCTGTCTAGATCTCTGCAGCAGTGAAGCCATCAAATGGTACTACCTCTTCCTCAGCATCCTCCTCATCAAAGGTCCCACCCAAGGCCTTCCTCCAACAGTTCGACATTGTAGCCTCGGAGACTGCCTCCCAGGCCTTGGCTGTCAGATAGAAGGAGTCGTTCAGGGTCACCTCCTTTAGGTAGTCTGTGATGGTGCCTAGCAGATCCAGCATCTCCATCATAAGTTCCTTCTTGTACAAGGCCTTGAAGGACTTGATGATGCCAACATCACAGGGTTGAATCTTCGAGATAGTGTTCTTGGGCAGATACTTCACAAAGATTTGCCTATCTGGAGTTCTCAGTGTGCTGGCTGTTGAGTGGGCAATGCAGTTATCCAACGGCAGGGCTGCCTTCTCCGGTAGGTTCCTTGAGCGTAGGTGCCTCCTCACACTGGGGTCGAAGATCTTGAAGAACCAGTCTTTGAAGATCTCAGCAGTCATCCAGCTCCTCGCAGAGTTGGAATACAGCACACTCCATATTCACATGTTAGAGACCTAAGGGACTGGAACTTCCCCACTGTCAAGCGCTTCAGCTTGTGGGTCCAGAAGCATTGCAGGTGAACAAGATAGTGATGCGGTTCTTTGCTTCGATCTTGTGGATGTCATCCTTCACAGCCAGGGTTCTGTCAGGGAGCATCTTGTAGAAGAGGCCTGTCTCATCTGCATTGTAGAGCTGTTCCATGGTCAGGGCCTCCTCTTCCAGGAACTCCTTTAGCTGCGCTGAGAAGGAGTCTGCTGCTTCTATGTCGGCTGACCTCTGCTCTCCCTGGATCTTCACTGCTCCTATGCCATGCCTCTTCTGGAAATGCTGAAGCTACCCCTTGGTGGCAATGAAGTCTCTCCTACCCTCAGCTCCATGGAGCTGGTAGTGAAACTTCTCTGCCTGGTGCCTCATGATGGGACCTAACAGAGGAGTCCCCTGGCTCTGCTCTTTCACAAATCAGGTGAGCATAGCCTTGTCCAGCTGCTCATCATTGGCTGTCCAGGCTTTCTTTCTACACAGTCCTTCTGACCCATGGACAGCCTCTATGAACTCTCACAGCTTGGTCTCCTCCTTCACACAACCCCTGAGGATTGATCCTGGTCCCCTTGTATCCCTGCTGACCTTTGCCTTTGTTTCACTGTTTTGCATCCTATCTATCAAATGCAGTTTTTCCTTTTATTGTATTTTGTATTACTACTAGGGGTCACAATTTCCCGGAAATTCCTGATTGCAATCCCTAATTACTATGCGCTATTTATATTTTTTTTTATTTATGAGAGATTCTTGATGTCTACTGTTGGACAGTCAAATTGAACATGATCAACCAGATAAAAGTACTCCTATCCATGGTATCTGATTGCAGTGATTGAATTCCTCTTAATTAGTCTGATATTATAGGAACTCTTTTATTGTGTGCGAAATATAAATAAATATAAAGTAAACATGTGTAATTATTAGCAATACAATTGGATTAGGTGTGAAATTGGTGAAGTGTTAAAATTTTGCAAAATTTGGGCTGTTTGATCATCAAAATCAAGGTAAAATGTGTGAAAAAGGGGTGTAATTACTAAAACAAATTAGGACCCATTATCTGATGATCACTGTTTGTTTTGTCTATTGTGAAGAAAATGGCTCAGAAATTGGTAGAATAGGGTGGAATTTCTAGAACGGGACCCATATTGAGTGTACGAGAGCAAAATCTTGGGGTCCAACATTCACCCACAGTACACCAGGTACCATAGTAAACTGGTTCACCATATACATATATATATATATATATATATATTATGAAATGGACAAAGTCCGACAATTATTTTAAGAGATTTTTATGTTTATACATTCTTTTTATAGATACAAATATTTAAGTAAATGCTCTGTTTATAATAAACAGTATTAAAACAACATTTACCGACCTGAATGTCCAAGAAATTTTTACAGAAAATATTCATCCTCCGACAGGATTCGAACATGTATTCTATACGGAACCGTCATTTAGCTTGACGTGCCATTAACCGATTTGGCAACAGAGGAGCATTCAGTTAGCAAGGTCGAATTTACTGAATTTCAATCGTATTTTCAACTTCAATCTTAAAATGTTGTTTAATACTGTTTATTATAAACAGAGCATTTACTTAAATATTTGTATCTATAAAAAGAATGTATAAATATAAAATTGTCTTAAAATATATATATATATAAAGTCCAAAGGAAAACTCTTTATTCATAGTCCTTTTACAGATATATTTTTAGTTATGTCTGAAACTTTACACACACACACACACACACATATATATATACTTGTAATTTATTTTGATGTGCTCCGTAATAAATACACTGAGCTCTATTTGTGGATCAGTTTTAATATTTTATATTATTAGGATTCACTTGAATTAGTTACCCACACACTTTTACCTGTATATGTGTGTGTGTGTGTGTGTGTATTTGGAAATTAGGAATATGACCCTTTTAAGCAACATTTATATTTTCTAAAATAACACTTACACTCCATTTATCAAATCATTGAAAATACCAAATAAATTAGCTGAAAATCAACAAATTTCTGCACTCATCATCTAGAAAAGAAAATACTTGTTCACATACAAGAAAAATATAATAAAAAAGTAAACAAAATTATCTTATCAGTTTAATGAAACATGTATTAAAGAGGGATTGCTACTCAAATACTTAATTGATATATACTGGCATATATAGGTGTCTGTTTATCTTGTAAGATAAAGGTACCACCCTGTTTAGTCAAAAAAGTGGTGGTGAAATTGGAGTAATTGCCAAAAAGGATTATTTAGTAGAGCATGCTGAAAAGTTCTCAACCCAATTTTCGGCACCTCCTTGTATGTATGGGTTGGCACTTCAGTCTAGATTCAGAATATCTGCTGTACACCATGTCGAGGTTGAATTTGTCACTTCCAGCACTTTTGCCTAGGATCGGTATAGTATCTGTGTACTCTGTAAATAGTGTCACACACACAAACAATATATAGCTACACATTGTTTTAACTATGTGTGTGTGTGCGTGTGAGTGAGTGTATGTTTATAAATTTTTCCAATTTGCAACCAATATTGCCGGCAGAATTAGGTCTTGTTATTGTTGAGTTTGCTTTATAACTGAATTGGAATTCTTGTTGCAGTTCTGGGATTCCATTCCATTCTTGTAATCTCTGAAGGCTGAAAGACATTCCTGAAATATTAAAAAGTTAAAAAAATCTAATTATTTGTCAGAAATGGAGAGTGAAGTTGGAAAGAAAGAGAAAAAGGAAAGAATGGCAAAGAAATGAAAGACAAAATTAGAGGAAAGTGTATAAGATAGAGAGTGAAGGAATAAAAGAAATAGCAAAGGAATGAGAAGCAAAGAAAAAGAGAATGGCAAGAAAACTAAGAAAAATTGAAAGAATGAAAATAACAAATGAAAACAAGAAAAAAAATGAAGGTATGAAAAGAATAACGATTGAAAATCAAGAAAAAATAAGAAAGAAAAAAATGAAAAGAATAATGGATGAAAGGCAAGGTAAAATAAGAAACAAAAGATAGTGAATAAAAAGCAAAAAAAAGTGAAAATGAATGAATAAAAACAATAACAAATGAAAGTGAAGAAAAAATAAGAAAAATGAATGAACTGTAAAAAAAAATAAGTAAAAATGAAGGAATGAAAAGAATAATGAATGAAAGTCAAGAAAAATAAAGAAAACAAAGGAATAAAAAGAACAATGAATGAAAAGCAAGAAAAAATAAGAAAGAAAAAGGAATGAAAGAATAATGAATGAAAAGCAAGAAAAATGAAGGAATGAAAAGAATAACAAATGGAAGTAAAAAAAAATAAAGAAAAAAATGAAAAATGAAGTAATGAAAGAAAAAAATGAAAGAAAAAATGCAAAATGAAGTAATGAAAGAAAAAAATGAAAGAAAAAATGCAAAATGAAGTAATGAAAGAAAAAAATGAAAGAAAAAATGCAAAATGAAGTAATGAAAGAATAAAATGAAAGAAAAAATGCAAAATGAAGTAATGAAAGAAAAAAATGAAAGGCATAGTACACAAGACTGAATAAATTAAAGGAATACAGAGAAAATAAGAAGTGATGTATAAAATAAAGAATGAAAAAGAAACGAAAGAAAATTAGAAAGAGCTGAAGGACATATTAGAAGATTGAAAAAAGAAACAAAGTGAAAGAAAGAGGGAACATATTGAAAACTAATGAAAAACATTGATGGCAAAGAATGAAAGAAATAATGAATTGAAAAAAGAAAATGGAGTGAAAGATGAGTAAAAAAAAAAAGACTAACTTTAGGAAATAAAGGAAAAAAAAATTGAAAAAAAAATAAAGGAGGAAAATTATTCCTTTTGATATTCCTTTTCTCTTTCTCTCTCTCTCCCACTGAGCCACACCTTTTACTCTCTACCACCTAGCAAAGATGGTTGACTTCCTTAATAAATTGATTTATCCTTCATGTTATCAACATTCCTTATACTATATACCACAATTCAGGGTTACCATTGAGTCAGCAATAGGGATTCCTTCCAATGTCACAGACATTCCACAATCAATATTACACTGCCTTTCACAGGCATAGTTTTTATTCAGAGTCACTCAACTTAGTACTCATTCTGCTGTTTACACTTTGCACCAGTATTCTTCTTCTGATCCTGGCTTCTTATGGTGCTGAACTGCTTTAGAGTTGAACTCATTCTTTACTTCGAACAGAATATTTGAGAATTGTGTGTGTGTACAATTAAGTATGTGTGTTTGTTTATGGGAATCAAACATGTGTAAGTATATGAATGCTTATGCACAAAGTCTGACCATTTTGAATGTTCCAAGAACCATGTGCACAAACTTGATGTAATGTTATAAGAGGGGATCTTACTGCACAGCTATAAACAGATACTCTCCTGTAGAGTTACTCATTCAATAGTGAGATTACACTGGGTGAGATTCTGTCTGCATAGTGTGATATTCACATAACTAATGAGCAAGCAAGTAGATCAGTCAAGAATTTTGCAAGGTTTTTTGATAAAACATCATGTCACCCAGGTCTGTCAGATTCCATAGAGTTCAGATTTGGTTCTTTGGGATTTCTTGGCTTTTTTGAAACTGGAAAAATATCACATCACCCAAATCTGTGAGCTTCCTGAGGAATTCAGATTTGTTCCCTTTGATTTCTGACTTTTCAGACACTAGCAAAATATCATATCATCCAAAACTGTGACCTTCCCAAGAGTTTAGATTTGGTTCCTTGTGATTTTTGGAATTTTTCTAATACTAGAAAAATATCACATCATCCAAAACTGTGACCTTCCCAAGAGTTCAGATTTGGTTCCTTATGATTTCTGGCATTTTTTTAATACTAGCAAAATATCACATCATTCAAATCTGTCAGCTTCTTTTATTTATTAAACAATATCTTTATTTATTCCCATCAATTAGCCTGAATGTTTGAAAAATCT